TCGACCTAAAGGAAATGTGTGTCATTAAATTATTATTCCCATTAAAATTATAGCGCAGAGAAATATGTGTGCATACTGCATATGTTTTTCATTAGAACCAGATAATTGCTTTCACAAATCTCTCTTTAGTAATCCGTTAAATTGTTAAACCTAAAATTCCTCTTTCAACCGTACATTATGCACATATTCAGTTAAATTTAACTTACATAACTAAAACAGGAAATAAAATTAACAGATCTCATTGGTTTCTTGGGATCTTGAACCTCTTACCTGTTAAGCAAGTAAACCGGGTGCCTCTACTAAAGATATAAAAGTGGTCCAGTTTTAAAGTAACCCTCGTCTGATCTCAACTTGTCTGAACCTCCTCTCACTGTGCGCTTCTGCTTGGTTCCTGCAGTTTTCAGTATATTATCATGGCAAATCATGGAGTTCAGGTGTATTTATTATTAATCTTGTGCTGATAAAGTTCTGACTCTCACCCAATCAGGAGGGTCAGATGTGTTTATCAACATACCCAAACATATCACGTGATCCGCTCGAACTTCAAAATAACGGTCGTGTTTTTACTCATTAGATACGCGACATTAAATTAGTTTATATAGTGTCATTCGAATCTGTAGAGAATTCTTCTAAATACAACACCACGTGGATATGGTGCAAGTCACTAAAAATGCTTCTGTTCGACTCTTTATAAACACTGGTTTACCCTGCAAAAACGTGACAAAAAACATCTTATTTTCATACGCGACATCATGCTCATTGTAAATTATATGTTGTGTTAGTTGAGACTTGGGAGAATCCTTCTAAATCTTTCAAACCTGTTATGACTAATAGAACTTTTAGAACCTTCTACGACATTCTGAAGTTGACTTATTAGCGGCGAATCAACGTGGTAAAAAAGTGGTAATTGTGGAGTTATCTGACGTAGGAAATTTTGGGATCCCTCTGGGCTCTGGGTTGATTTCTGAAATTTGTCCCGACCATCTCCCGTTGAAATCATTTTGTTGCGAATTATTTCCGACAAAGACTTTGACATATTTTACTGTACTTATAACTTCATAATTGATTACTTGTGAAACTAGCCTTCTCTTGAAGTTAAAGTGGAATTTTAATTTTTACTAATTGTAATTATTTCCTATTGTTTCCTCGGCCCTCGTTCAATACTCCATTGCTTTAGCTAAGTCTATGACAAAGGCATTAAATTTAATTATGCTAATACCTCTTTATAGATCAAACATAAAGTCATAAGAAATACGGATGCCTAGTACTTGGCGGAACAAATAACAATATAAATATTATGTTAAAACATTTACTAGTTCTTTGAGAGTGCGCTATTCAAAACGTGACTTATACTCACTTGTTTAACTCATTAAACTATTGAATAAAGCTGGTCTTAACACGAACCGGACAGTCATTCCTAAATCTGACCCATCACAAACATGCAATTAATCCTTTCAATGCTATATTTGCCATGCCGATTGCCGACGTGACAGTGTGTTACAGTTTGTACTTTGTTCTAGCAAATATTTTGGAGACACTTATTCACTGTTTCATTTAGGGGGCATCGTCATTATTTGCCATCGACTGGTAAATGCGATTCATTAGCAGTAAAATTTCAATTAGTTACTGTGCAGCATGTTTCAAATCGAATGAAATTTTGCATAGTGTAAAACTAAAATTGGAGTTCTATCTTTCATGTTCCGCAGTACAGGTATGCTCAATTTAATATTGAACAATATGCTATAAAAGTATAAAGTTATAAGCCTCAAACGTGAAATATGGCTACGTTGTGAGCCTAAACGTTACCATAGTAATATATACTTCTCCTCCTCCTAACCCCAAATAAGCCAAGTTATTCATAAATCAGACCCACTCTGAACATGCCAACGATCCGATAAGGGTTATATCTCAAAATGTAATAGTAATATCTTATGCCGACTTAATAAATATCAATATCATGAGAGTTTGTTGCAGTTTGTTCATGTAAAAATATAATAAGATTCTCGGGTAAAAGACATATCACAATTTTTCCATCGACTGATAAATTCGAATCTGTTGTGGTAAGATTTTAAGTTAGCTGAAAACGATTTATTTGAAAGCTTCTGGAACAAACCTGTCACTCTTATCTTTCCAGAACCCCCTCCAGTACTAAAAGTAAGCGGTTAAGATAAATCAAAATTACACCCCCGTATCATTTGAATTATTTTCCATCTTTCCGACAAGTTTTGTTTCCTTTTAAAAACATTTAATTTCGCTGGAATATTAGCAGAAACCGACAATTTCTCGTTATAGTGATGAATTTTGAAGATATTTTCCGATCTGCTAGTACAATTAACCTCAACTTGATCGAATAATATTACTTCCCTGGCTTATTATACCATTAACTTCATGCATAACATTTACCGGTTAAAATTCGATGGTCACTGTAGCACCATTTCTACAAGGTAACAAGATGAACCTTATAACTTTCACCACTACGGTGACATGTGCATTGCGCCCCCGGGTTTATTGTCCTTATTAAATTAGCTAGTAGTATGAGGGGGTAAGTGTAAACATTTTAGTACGTACGAGGAGGAGCCAATAATCTGATGATATTTTGTGATAAGATATTCGGAGATTTATAGCTATCCCGGCATCACACGCTTCAGCTTGTGCCAGAGTAGATTGAAATAACGGGTGTGTTTAAGAATTCAGTATTTGATTGCACGAGAGAGTCGGCCAAGATAAGTTGGAGTGTATTGGTCTGCTGGGGTAAGTCATGTGACCTTAAAACTCTCCTTTTCATGCCGTCACTTGCATGACCCGGGGAAAATTTAATCAGGTGTATCCTTATTATCGATATTTTCACCGATTTTGGCACAATATTTCAGTCTGAACCAGTGAGTATTGCAAACGTTTACACCAGCACATAGAATCATGGGTAGATTTAATCTGATAAATCGATATTTTCACGCGATGCTATCACGAGTTTGGCAATCAAACTAACATGGTGGACATGATCAGCCGGTGACATGAAGTTGTTACTTGCTTGTACATTGCTGTCCCAACAAATCGCTAGTCCATCAGCTGACACCGTACAATCAGCCTCCGATCAATATTAGACGAAATTGATTAATCATCATCAGATCCTATGATCATGTTCGCTCCATTTCATTTGCAGTTCCGTGGAGTATATCGTTAATTCGTATCTCTAATAAGTAAGGGACCGAGGTCTCAGGTATTTATCTTTATGTTCCCAGCTACCCTCTTAAGACAGTGACGACTGGTAGGATTAATCATTAATTTTGAGCATTTTATCATAGGTTTGAGTTGACATACACCCAAGAAATTCCCCCGTTTCTAGTATTGTTGATTTTGAGCATTAAATCATGGTTGCTTTTAAGATTAAAAAACCCCAAATCATTTATTAATCCCCTTCCCCCTCCCTCCCCCCACCCCCCTTCGCCCCACGTACAACTTCCCAGTTGTAGTTGTACGTGGTGTGGTAGTTTACTAATCAGCCTGAGCACATAATCACATATATAATATTATTACGAGTATAGGAGTTCTGTGGTATTTAATCAAAATCTGTTAGCTTATGGCACTGCTCGGTCGAGAAGTAGTAACCGCTTTCAGCAAATTATCAACTGAATCTTGGAAAAGGTGGAGATTTTGTCATTTTCTGGAGCCTGTCTCAATGTATTCCGGCAAATTGTCAAATGATTCATAGAATTAGAATACCCCGAACATGATGTCAATATTCGGAATGACACTGAATGAGAGTGAATGACATCTCATTCTATAAGATATTGGGAGGATGTCGGGGAGAATCCTATAATTACCACACAGATTATGTTGATGGTAAAACATGGGGTATCCCGAGACTATCTTTCTATTCGTAAAATCTACCCTAGGTTCAGTATGGACAGCTAGGTCAGTGTATTATTTTACTGTTATTATTCATCAGACACTGTGGCCATTGAACTAGGAGAGGTTGTAGATTGCATATAAAATCCGTTGGTGATGATCGCTCCAACGACTAGAAGGAATTTTCAAAAGAACAATTACAGTCATATACTGCTTATCTTGCAAGAGTTAGTGCGAACGATTTAATCGGCGGATTTAATCACTTTTTCTGTCACATATGCTGGGTAACTGGAAGATTAGTGAGCGACAGTTTTTGCTCGTTTCGAAATTAAGCAGCCAGTCTTGCGTAATATTTAAAAGCTTGAAATTGCAATTATAGTATGGCACCAAAAACCGGAAATTTTGAGGCCAACTTTTCGTTGCTGTGACAATTACATGTCTACCTCCACCTTGTTTCTGCCATGTGCCAAACGAAGGTGACACCTCCAAATCAAGATGTTGGGAGTATATAACGCACGTTTACAGCATCAGCTGTAATAGCAATTGTGACTTGCCAAAATCCACTGCACGGATTCAAATGTCATTAAATCAGCTGCCAACATTGACAGTCATGGGTTTTTCTCGAACCAACAGATCTCTAAATCTCACATATTTGCGGCTGCGACCAGCTTGTGCAATGTAGCCAATAGAAGCCCATTTCGTCAATAATTTATAGTTATATTAATTTACGTCTACATCTAAGATCAAAATGTCATATTTTGTTTCCGGTCGACGTCCTTCAGGCTTCAGGGTTCAGCATTTCAATTTCATTAAAGCGCATCAAATCATTTAATGGCATTTAGCGATGTAACCGTTATCATACGCATTGATATATTAATAAACATATATAAAATTCCCGGGATTACTTCGTGTCCGTCTGGTTTACTTCGTGTCCGTCTGGTTTCTCAATTTGAATTTAAGCTGTTTAAATAGTACTTAAATAAAGCTGGTGCCAACTTTGTTAGTCTTGTTCTGGTTATTTATTACTTTTGTAAACTCTTTCAAAGTCTGACTACGATTTATATAATAGCATTACAACAACAATTACACCACTTGTATTCGTTTAAGAAACACTTCTTAAGTTACTTAGTCTTACAATATCACCCCATCAGGATATGAACGGGACAGAAGGACTGGTATCAGGGCTTACCAGCACCACCTCACTGGATGTAGTTATAGGCCCCGCTACAACCCCCCTGATAGACGTGGTGTCAGGTCCCACAACTACCCTGGAGGTGATGACAGTCATACTGATCCTCTCCCTCATGATCCTAGGAATCCACTTTAACTCCCTGGTCCTGTATATGTTCTGCAAACACCGTCATTACCGTCTCCCCTCCCGACTCCAGCTATTCTCCCTGGCTGTCGACGATATCGGAACTGCTATCTTTGTGGAGCCCATGGTCATTTCCATGTTCTACAAGATTGAACTCTTCGCCCAGAACAATGTTCTCTGTAGAATCTTCTCGAACCTTCTGCACATTTTCCCCTGGGGCTCCATCATCAGTTTAATGGTTCTCAGCTTCACCAGGGTCGTCATCGTGCTCTATCCTCTAGCCTACAAGATCTGGGTGACTCGGAGGAGAGTGGTGCATGTCATAGTTGCTAAGTACTTGTTTATAGGCATCTTCCTGACCGTCTCCAACCCGCTGTGGACGTTCATCTTCATCCCGAGCGTACAGTCCTGTTTCGTGAGCTACACGGGGACGGTTAACGACCACGTGCCCCACGTTAACGTGATCCCCTATATCATCCTGATGGGGAGTGTGATAATAGTGCTGCTGTCTGGTGTGGTGCTGGCACAGTTCTGTGGGATACCCTGTAGTAGGGGGGTCGGGGGAGGCCTGGCTAAACACAGAGCCCAGATGCCAGGGATAGCTAGAGAGCTGCTCCTTTTAGTAGCAGTTTACCTCTTGACCACTTTCTCTGTTCCTATGGTAGCCCTGAAGCGCTATCTCAACTTCAACCTCTCCCCTCAGGGGGAAGTGGTGTTCGCTCAGGTTGCCAAGGTGCTGTTCTATGTCGGCCCAGTCGCTAACCCTGTGATCTACGCACTGAGACGAGGTGAGTATCGGGACACACTAGCCTCTTCTTTTAAGCTCACTATCAGCGCCAGACGAATAGTCCGGGAGAGAACCACGGCAAAGAACGAGCTGGTAATCGACACCGAGCTGAATCATCATCAACAGAAGGGGATCTGTAAGGTCAAGTTGAGGAGAGGATCCTCAGAGAATCAGCTACGAGCAGAGCGGAGTATTGAGCTTGAGGATATCACTGTTCGGAGGAAGTCGACTCTCTATCTCCGCAAGAAGTCTTATAATGTGCGCTTGCCAAAGGGTGGGTTCATTTTCAAGAACAATGCTGCACCTCACGGTTATGATTGAGATGTGAACATTAGCCCGAGTCAGGCTGACAATTTAAAGACACTTAACAAAATTTATAGTTTTCAGGGCATCAAACGCTGCCCGCTGGCATATGATTACAGCAAATCCTAACATTATTATTGGAACTAAGAAACAATATACACTGGCCTCACGCATCCTTAAGTGAGCAGTAAATTATGAAGCGGCATAATTTGAAGTTGTAGTTATAGACAGAAAGGAAAAATGAAATAGAAAACTGGCGGCTACCTGATAAGAGACCATCCTGTCGAGGAGAGGCTCGATTATCGCTTCATTCACTGTTCTTCATTTTACTTTTTCTTGATCTGTAATCACCTACATGTTCATAAACTGCTGAACATTGTTTTGGTTGTAAAGTTGAGTATTGTTGTGTTTTTGTTTATTAATTCATATATTTGTGATGGTAAGAAAATGTAAAGTCTGTATTATTTTTCGAAGCCGGAGGTTCTCGAACATCCCTCTTCAAACAAGTCATCTGTGTCATTCTTTTAAAAATTATATTGAGTCAAATCAAAGTCGAAATTCGAATAATCTCCATTAGAATTGATCTCCATTAGAATTGATACAATTTCAAAATAACATAGACGGGAGAAAAATCTTAAAACAATAATAAATCTATAATCTGGAAACACGGCAAAATGTTTACTGCATCATGACGTAAACATGTAGTTAAAAAGGTATTATAGACAAAGTCAATGAATGGGGTCAGAATGGTTTAGAGTTCAGAAATAATTCTTTGTGAAATTGGTCGATGCTTGTAAATTCTATTACTTTTTCAAGTGATTGAGTGTCATGTAGGTTTGGACCGGGTAAAAACAATAATTTATCATTAAAAATGTCATCATGGTAAAACACATAGGGCTAAAATTACCTAAGAATGCAATTTCAATTGAGGTTCAGATTCTACAAAAAACAATCGCAACATCGAGTCAAGTACTAAACAAATGCCCCAAAGTATCTCAACAAAATTACCCATCTTACAACTACCCCAGTCCTCAAACTCTCCCCCGAACCCTTCAAACCCCCCGCCTTCTCCTCTTCAATAATCCCTGCCAGCTCCTTGGCATCTTGCAAATACAACCTCTCAGAGAAGCTGGGTGGCACTACAGTCCCCCTGATGGTACACTGAGGCCAGGGGCACCCCCGGGTGTTGAAAACAGCAATACTTTTCTGGTAGGACGACCAGTAACTGGTGGTGTTTAGGTGTTTGAGGAGGGAGAAACAGATCGGGCAGTCGCTGTGTACTTTGTTGAGAGGATCAGCGTAGTTACACCATTCTCTCCTGAGGGAGATCTTAGTTACTAAGTGAAATTGAAACAGATCGGGCAGTCGTCGGATTTGCACTATTCTCTCCTGGGGGAGATGTTAGTTACTAAGTGAAATTGAAACAGATCGGGCAGTCGTCGGATTTGCACTATTCTCTCCTGGGGGAGATGTTAGTTACTAAGTGAAAGTGAATGTGAAACAGATCGGGCAGTCGTCGGATTTGCACCATTCTCTCCTGGGGGAGATGTTAGTTACTAAGTGAAAGTGAAAGTGAAACAGATCGGGCAGTCGTCAAATTTGCACCATTCTCTCTGGGGGAGATATCATATGCCAAGTAACATGTGCTCTGTATTCTGTCGAGAAGATCTAGATAGTTGGACCATTGTTAGTCCCCCTAAAGTCTACCTCAAAGTCTACCCTTATTGGCAGAGCTTCTTGGATATTGCCAAGATCTGGCCTAAGAAATTCGAGCTTTTAGTGTAATTCTACTGCAGTTTCAAACTTTTATTATAATTCTACTGCGGCTTGGAGCCTTCAACAGCAACCTTTTTACTATCATTAAATTAATTCGGTTGGGGGATTTAAAAGGGTTCTGTAGAACGATATCTTACTACTCATTATGTTAAAAGGTTTCCGGTATTTAAGTACCCGTTTAATTTGGCTCCAAACATTAGAGCATTAGGATGCCTTTTGATATTTAACTTGACAGGTGGTTTAACAGTCAAGGTGTCAATAATCTTATATTATAACCCACTTAGGGGCCATCTACTTAGGACGTCCGCCAAAATCGCACATTTTCAGACCACCCCCCTCCCCCTGTCCGGGTGTGTCCGAATTTTCAAAACCATCCCCTCCCTATTTGCCGGACGTCCTAAGTAGATGGCCCCTTTTATAGCCCACTTGTAACTTACCCAATATATTTAGGCATGGCCTCCATGTAGTAATCTAAGTTGTACTGGTGTAGTTCTGCTAGGAGTTTGTCAGCGAGGGAGGTTGAGTTGTACTCCTTCAGGGTATCATTGTTACAATTCAATCTTTTCAGACACGCTCCGTACTCTCTGACGAAGAAGGGTTAGGAAGAAATCGAACATTCGTTTACAGTAGTTATTGAAATTAAACAATAATCAGGCATAAGAGATGGAATTGTCCAAAGCAGGTAGCTATGAATTGCACTGCAAAATAATGAGTAACATATACATCATACAGTTATTTAATTGTGATATGAATGTAATGAATTGGTTTCTGACGAAAAGATGGTGACGAATAAGTAACAGTTTCTCACTTCCGATGTGTACAGGAATCCTCCTTTGTAGAGTATCTGAAGTCTCTAATCTCGGAGTCCCACAGCCAGTTCAGATTAGATGTGAAGTAGTACCGAGAGAACCGCCTCCCTACCATATGCCTCCACCGGCATTCAGACAGGTTCCAGATACTGCACTCTTCTAGATCTGCGGGGGTCGCATTTTGGTTTGAAATTAGAAGTTGTGAGTTAATCTCACACTAAAAAAGGGTCAAGATAATACCTACGAGGAGTTCTGGAAATGGTGGAGGGCAGGATCAAATAGCTGTCATTAAGAATGACATATAAGATTCAAAGAAAACACAAATAAAAAACCTCTCATCACTTTGCTTCTCCTGTCTAGTCTCCATTGAAGGTGAGTCTTTTCACATCTGTGCTGTACAAGGAAACTCGTAGCTCTCCTGGCACCACTTCTGATATCCCTCTTTGTCCCCGGGTTCTCACAGTCTGACCAGATAGTTTTTGTTAATTAGTTAATCACTTAACAAGCTCATAAGCTAATTAGTTTATAGGTAAATTATTACTAGCAAAATGCTTACGAAGACACTCATATAAATAACGTCTTCAAAAACTGAAAATGGGAGAATACTAGTATTCATATGTTTTTAACACAGAAGTTCACACTATGATTAAATACCAGTAATCTCAATAGAATCAAAGCAGATGAGCTGAAAGAGGGCCATATCACAGTTGTTTCTGGGATGTTTAGGGGGCTTCCAGGTCATCCCACTCAAGTAAGATAATGAACCCATCATCAGGAACTCATCTTCAGGTGATCCACTAAATGGAAACGCGTAATACAGCTCTGTAATGATCAATATTAAGGTTTGCTATACAACTATCTAGCGAAGATATTTAAATATAAATCAAATATCTCTGATAGTAAAGGGCCATCTACTAAGGACGTCCGCCAAAATCGCAGATTTTCAGACCCCCCTCCCCCTGTCCGGGTGTGTCCGGATTTTCAGAAACCACCCCCTCCCCCAGTCCGGATTTGTCCGAAATCCCAAAACCAGCTCCTCCCTATTTGCCGGACGTCCTAAGTATATGGCCCCTTTCTTATAACATGAAATTTGAAAATAATAATCAAGGGAAAGAGAAAGTGAAACTTGTGACGCTAACCTTTCCAATACCACCAAGTGTGGTCGGTAGTGAAGCCGGAGCACCTTTCTCTGATACCCCCCTTACAATCTGTACGTGTTAACCGCTTCTGTAAGCAGTAGTTTTAATAAAGGTTTAATTAGCTTTTGATATCAAAATTAGGGGGATGATCAGCGATAATAAAAAATAAGAAAGAATTCAGAAGCTTTTAGGCGTATTGAAAATGTTCAACAATCTTTGCAATTTATGACATGGTGAAAAAGTATAGGGAGATGGTGAAAATGTGTAGGAACATGGGAACACCCCAGACAAACTTACAAGATTGCCGTCATGGCTGGGTCCAGGTACAGTGGTAGTGAAACTCATTGTACTAAAGGGGGTTGTCATGGTACTACCGAAAGTACGGGTAAAGTTGGTTCCTTGTATTGTGTTCGAGGAAAGAAGAGGTGGAGGAGAAGTATAGTTCTGCTGCACTGTCTCGTTTATAAAGCTGCACGATACCCTGGGATAGTGAAAGTGAAAGTGAATGTTAAAGAGTAGTTCTGCTGCACGATACCCTAGGATAGTGAAAGTGAAAGTGAATGTAAAAGAGTAGTTCTGCTGCACGATACCCTGGGATAGTGAAACTGAAAATTAAAGCGAAGGTTAACGAGTATTTCTGCTGCACTGTCTCGTTAATCGAGATGTACGATACCCTGGGATAGTGAAAGTGAAACAAAAAGGTAATTTCTTGGACAAAAGTTTCACAGTTTTGACTAAATTTCACTCCAGTGACCAATTAGTCGGTTAACTATGGATGGCAAAAACACTTTCTGAATTCTGTCCCATTTTCTCCCCTGACCAATGAGTCAGTCAACTTGAACTATGGAATCTGTAAGTGTACTAACTTTGGATCAATTCCCATTCTTCTGAGCTCATTGTACATTGTTATCATCCTCGGGTAGGGTTGAGTCTTCGTCTCAAAACTAGCCGCTCCACTCGTGTGATCCACCTGATGTTTAATTATGGTTTTACCACCGAGTTTTGGTTCAGCCGAAATAAATTTTACTTTGATGTTTACATAATGTTTCTCACTCCAGCTGTAGTCTGGTAGTGTTGAGTCTCATGAATATTTTTCTAGCTCTCTTTTTCCATGTTTAAGCCTCACAGGAGATATTGTGGTCTTTTTTTTATTGAATATAACTGTAATACATTGATGTAAAGTTTATTTGAATTTTGAAATTTAAAAAAATTAATACATAAAAAATAAAATGGATAGTTAAAGTTGGTCAGACTACTCAACATTTGATCAAAACAATCAGTTGTTGCCTGGTTGTCCAGAAACAACTGACTAGCAAGAGCATCATATAATTTGATGTCCATACAACAACATGCCTCCTTTGCCACGTCACCTCCATCATCTCCGCTTAGATAACTCCGGCAACCTCCTTCAGGGTTGCCATACCCCAGAGGCAGACAGAGCATCATATCACCCAATTATTTTCTAAAAAACTGACCTGCCAACAATATGCGTTATCCTCCCAGAGCAACATGGCACGACTAATGTTGTGACAGAAAGTCTCAGTATCATTGTTGTCCTTGGTTGCCGCCATTAAGTCGATCTCTGAATCTAGATCATCACGCTCTTTAACAAAACATGAACCTGACATTTAGAGACTATAAACGACTTGTCTCTTTCTCAGGTTTGGGCAAAATCAAGTGTACCCGAGAGAACGCAGCAGATTCACTTCAACTTCAAGCTAACAGAGGGGCCAAAAAAAGACGAACTCACCACAAACGTCACTAGCAGTGATGATATCAGGGGAGGAGTATCTATCCAGCACAGTTACCCCAGTAACAGGTTCTCTAGAGTCAGCAGGGGAGAAGTCGGCCCAGGTCAGGGTGTACCTGGTGTTTCGTCTCCTCTTGTTTGAGTACAGGTGGGGTATCATACAGCTGCGGAGGTGGAGAAAGTGAACCTGACATTTAGATACAGAAAGTGAAAGAGAAGCTAACAGAAAGGTTCATTAAGTCAAAATGACACTTACTTGAAGGTATAGAATATGAAAATGAAAGTGACAGACAGGACAGTGAAATTAACTTGCGAGTGGATAAAATGATTCTGAAAATAACTTGAAGGGAAAGAAATAAAGAAATTACGCACACTAACCTCAATGGTTGGTCAATGGTCATAAATAAAGTAAAAACTGTGAATTTCGGTCAATGAAACGGCAAAAAAGCTTCTAATCACAAATCTTCCAAAATTTCTCCGTATATTCTGATGATTTTCAGTTGTTTAAAACTTTATTTGGTAATCTGACTTTCGATACCTTAATCATGTCTGGTGCCATCCACAGTGAACTCATTCATTGGTCATTCAGCAAAAATTCAGTCAAAACAAAGAAATTTGGCAAAAGACACGATTGAGGTACTCAAAGTTCTATTCCCAAAGAAAGCTTTGATAAACGGAAAATCATCAGAATATAAAAAGAGATTTTCAAAGATTTTTGAAGAGGAGCTTTTCTGCCGTCCCCTTGGCCGAAATGTCGCGGTTTTTACTGAAATTTTGACCAGTGACCAATCAGTGAGGTCGGTGAGAGTGACACAAGTCGCCATCAATGTACTGAAAGATTACATCCGGAGAAAGCTTTGATGCAATGAACATTTCAAATATGTCTCCAGATATTAAGTTTCCAGTTTCTCGATGGTGACTTGTGCCACTCACCATGATCTCACCGGTTGGTCACCGGTACAAATTTTGTCAAAACTAACGTTGACGTGGGTAAAATGATCGAGAAACAAACTTGAAGGGATAGAAATTATAAAGTTAAAGCGAAACTTACTTGTAGGTGGAGTGAGCGTGTGAAATATCATCATTGAACATGTCTGTGATCAGAGCGTAGACTATCAACCCATCAAACTGTCTAAACATGTTGCCAACTTTCGTTAAACTGCGACCTGGTTACAAAAGGTTATAAGCATCCCACTCTACAGTCTACAAGACTACACAATATGAATATATACGGCTGAGAAGTGTAATGGAGGGGGGGGGGGGGATATAAAGTTCACTTTTCTTTCCATGTGAACGTCAATAAGAACAAACATAAGGGGGATATCTCGGGTCATCAACCTCCTAGCCTTCCCCTCCGCAACATCCTTCATCCAACCTCTGAAACTTATTGGTATACATCCCCAATACCCATCCCTTTGAGAGTTGAGTTTTAAACGGACTCTCACCTAAAGCAACAGTACCAGGAAGAAGGAAGCTTTTGTAAGGTTTGACAGTGTTGAGGATGGGAGTGAGAGTGACCATGAAGTGGCCTGGTTGTTTGTACCACAGAGTTACATTACCAGTCATCATGTCAAACCGCAAACATACTAGCCGCAGATGATCCTTTACTCTCTGGAGAAGACAAGTTTTGTATTATTTTAGATTGGGTTTAAAATGGCTAATATCTGGCTAACGTGATGTACGGATAATTTTAATTGAAATTTAGAAATTAAATTCAATAAATGAATGAAACAAACCCATGTGTTCGGTTTATAGGAGTAAGGAACAGACCACCTCACCCAGCGTATCACATTCTGTAGGGTCCCCTGTGAGTTGGTCCAAGAGAACTTCTGAGCAAGCCATATGGTGTCCCAATTAGCTGTGAGAGTCAGACTTTTCGTCGGTCTGTTGAGCCCATTTCTCGATACCTCTGATGGCCGAAATGTACCGTTATACAAAGCCAGATTTGTTAATAGAAGTTAACTGTTTTGATAACAAAATTTAAAAAAAAACCATTAATGCAGAGTAATAGATGGTCATATATAGCCAATAAATAAGTAAATGAAATGGGAAATTTCGATGTTGAATAGCAAATAAATGGCAATAGTCATTTCTGAAATACAGTAAAACAACTCATGCCTAACATTATGGACACCTTTGAAGCTGAAGATGTCGTAGTAAGTGTGAGGGTTGCTGGGAGCGTATTTCACACACCACGTAGTGGGTTTGTCACGACGAGGACTGAAGGGTCTCAGCACTCGGGGTCTGGGACTCACCTGGTCATCTAGGTCTAGCGGGGTGAACTGGAACACGTGCTCATCTGAAACACAAGGATATATCGTAACCGGGTGTTGAAATATAAGGTGGGTTGAGATATACTGAAACACAAAGAAAAGTAGTGTAAGATGCATTATATCAGACCAGCTGACATCAACAAACAGCAACTGAACAACAGCTGCAATCATCTGTACCTAAATTTCCAGATTTAGGAGCCAGTTTTTCGCAGCTGAGGTAAGATAATAAGAAAATAGTCCCACCTGTAGAACACCAACACAGTCTAACAAACCCTTCTTTAGTAGCGTCACACCGCTCCTTAGCAGTGTGTGAACGTGTCCACCGGGAGGTGTCTTTACTCTTGATACCCTGACACACTGCTCTTTGACTCTTATCCGTCAATTCTTCGTACCCTGATGGAATGTTGGTGAATATACATACTAATACTGTATCTGAGAAAGCTTTTTTTAAAATCAATAAACTTTCAAAATGTTTACAAATACATCATTTTATTTCAAAGAAAATTCGCCGAATGACCTTTCATGCCTTGACGAGTGACCGAGTGTAAACAAAATTAGGGACACCGAAACATCAGTTGACCAGTAAACTGGTCATAGCAATTACATCGGGCCCTATATGCACCTATAAGTAAAGCGATGCTGCAACCAAGGCATGCTAGTTTTATTCCATAGGACTAAAAAGGTTACAATCTAAAATATAAATATAATAACTATGTGCCATAATTATAAACACAATTTATAAAACATATTTTATTAATTTGATATTGAGATATAATTAATTTAAAGATAACAAAAACTTTCAATTATCAAAATATATAATATCGTTATCTATAACAAGAGATTATAATTACTGATTAAGGATTTGTGGCTTTTGTACGTGGAATGCGCACGGATCTTTAATCAGTAAAATGACAGTGAAATTGTGCAGAGGTGTTTAGCATTGTAAAACTGCTCGAGATTAATCATAATTCGTCTTGATAGTTTGGTAGAAGTCATTACAAAAAAATGTTCTAGATAAACAGATGAATAAAATGAAGGTTAGGAGCAGTTAATAAGACTAAGAACATTTCCATATAGCATATTCCCAAAGTGAGGCCAGTAAAACTAACCAGGCTGATGAATTCCCTTGAACACCTCGTTAAGGATCACAGCTTGGCACATCTGTTGAGCTATAGTCTCTATAACATCAGGGTAAGGAAGGTCCTGGGAGCACACCATTGACTTAGCAGAGCAGGCAGCAGAACAGGATTCACCAGGGGCGCTCCATGTGTGATCTGGAGATTTTGTGAGTTTAAAACTGCAAAAATTGCTGTCTTATCAAATTCATGTACGTTTGTTAATTGCTCTTGTTATCAGCATCGCACAGCCTTGCTTAAATCGAGTACAACGTGTACATCGCTACTTGTACATAAATCATAATGAGCTATACATTGGAATCCCTGCATCGATTGGAGAAGGACATTCGGGGAACTTTCGATTCGTTGACTGGAGCAGCTAAGTGTAAAAACATCACTGAAGTTACGAAGCATGTTCTTATGAAAGGGAACAATGTCAGCAAAGACTCACTTGCTGGATTTGTCATGGAATTTGTTAAGATTGTAAACTGCAGCACAGACATTCTTAAATCTGCGTCATCAAATATTGACACTTTGAAATCTGATCAGATTGTAAATCAGAAACTTATGTTGGAGCTTAAGGACGAAATTATTCAGAAGAAGGACAATCATGTTCAGAAAGTTCAGGAGGTCGTCAAAACAGAAGTTAAATCGTTTAGCGACATAGTGAAGCAGAACAGTCCACAGATCCCAGGCAAAACTTTGCAAGCGGCTGTGAAATCAGCAGTTGACAATGATAATCGCAGTCGCTGTGTGATGGTATACGGACTCAGGGAGGATCCTAAAACCAATCTTGATACAGTTGTGGGAGATATGCTTAGTGAAATTGCTGGAGCAGAAAAACCCTTCGTGAGGGAATGTTACCGTCTGGGAACTGCGAAGCCTGGCCAACATCGTCCAGTCAGAGTTTGCTTCAGCCGATCAGACTCAGTTTCTGTTTGTGCTCAGTAATGCTAAGAACTTGAAGCAGTCGTCACAGTTCAATAAAACATTTCTGAGTCCTGATCGATCTCCTGAGGAGAGGCTGATACGGAGAAAACTTGTTGAATCTTTAAAAGCAAAGATGGAGAAAGAGCCAGAAAAGTATCACTTCATACGAGGAGGAGAGATCTGCACCACTGAAAGAAAAGTGACCCCGCAACACAGCACGGAAAAGAAGACGATTCCACAACACTCAGGATTCTCGATTCCGCAACATTCAGGATTCTCCACTTCGAGTAATCGTGCTGCTGGCCTCAACAAATCTTTTACGCAGGGACCATGGATTCCAGGAACACTGTCCATTAGTACTCCGATGAAAAAGCGATGAATGTCGATTTGCCGTGATTCTAGCTTTGTGTGTTATTGTGTGATTTCAATGCACGGCAATGAAGGGACTCAGGTACCACGATCTGGCAGACAAACATGTCTGAACAGACATAGCGAGTCAGATCTGGTTCAGGAAATTTTATCGTTAAAGAGATATTCATATTTCATATGAATCAATACTCAGGTTTCTAATTTTGGACTCGCCCGGGGTTTGATTATGATACTTTGAGGAATGATGCTTTGCTGACATTTGATTTATAAGTTGATTTCAAATCCCCTATGGGTACCAGAAATACTGGTTTCACAACAACCGTGATTGTTACTCAGGTGTGTGATGATTTGTGGAGCACATAGTAATCGCGAAGCAGGTCTCACCGAGGCTAGGTATATAACTGGTTGTTCCAATTTACCAACTTACTAACTTACTAAACAATATCCTGTTAGCCGACACTTTCTAAAGTTAATGAAGAGCATATTGTCACTTCTGCGGGGTGAAAATTGGAAAGGAGCATGGGTTTTGGCGGCTACCGGACAACTGAACCCAATTTAGACAATGTAGACTAACCCAAACCCTAACCAATTAAGCTGATTGGTTAGTGGGAACTAGGTTCAATTGGGTTCAGTTGTCGGTCACCCGTTTTGCGGCTATAATACATCAGGGTTTCATAGTATAGGATGTTCCAACTGACTGACTGACAGACTGACTGACTGACTGACTGACTGACTAACTGACTGACTGACTGACTGACTGACTGACTGACTGACTGACTTACCACGGAAGGGGTACGGGTCACCGCCCCACCACGAGTAAGAACTCAAACTCTTCTTGAAGAGTTCTTCGTTATAACAGTCTGAGATTCCAGAGATTATGAGAATACATTAACACCTACATGTTAATCGTTATTGTTTAAGTCCTACTCGTAGTTTTCTGTTTGCTTCAAGTGATAAAACATGATAAAACATGTAAAGGACGTAGAGTAAGTTAAAACATTTCAATTTTCATTCATGAGTTTTATATGAATTAAAAAAATAAGAATACACCGTTAAAACACTTACTGTGCTTCCTGGCTTGAATCTCAGTTTGTCTAAAACAGATCTTAGCATTGTAGAGCACCGCCACTTTCTTCCGGCTCACCGAGCCAATGGTCGGGTTCCTAGGGTAACCGCTAACATTCTCCGCACAGTACAAAGGGTCACAAACTGAAGATATAACCTTATGAGCTTATGGTTATTAGCTAGGACGGGGGGGGGGGGGGGGGGGGGGGGGGGGGGGGTTCGGGTGCCGAGTACTGTACGTGAATGAGTCGTTCTAAGAGAATAGTTGAGAAGAGTTTTTCTATGGCACTGCTGACAGCAACTGCACGGTAGTTGTCAGGATTCGATTTATTTCCCTTTTTATGAAGTGGAGATATAATGCTGACGTTCCAGGGATAAATTCCTTGTGAGAAGCAGGCGTTGAAGAGGTTCAACATAAACAATTTATGATTGGTGTCCAGAGATTTTATAATTTCGTTATTAATCATGTCGAGTGAGGAAGCTTTACCATTTTTGAGGAATTTTATACTAGAGTCAAGTTCTGTTATGGTAATTAAGGTGTTGAGTGACTCAGGATGAGTTGCACCTTGATTTATCAAGTCAGCCTGATCAATCATAGAAACTTTTTAATTTTCATTTATTGTTTTGTGGTTATCAGAATATAGGTTACCAAAAAAAGTCTCGAATCTATTCATATCATGACTGTCAAAATTTAAAGTTTTCTTTTTCTGATTTTTTAGTTTTTTGAAAGATTGCCAGTTGAGAATTTCCCCCCCCCCCCCCCTCTATGTCCTCATTCATACGTGCGAAGAATTCGTTTTTGTGCAGAGTTCTTCAAACGCTTATAGCTACCCTTGACAAGATAATAGTTTCCACGTATAAAGTTGTTTGACGGGAATTTTGAGGTTGCATCTGTACCTTTACGAAATTTTCTTTTACCTAATCTCGTTTTCCAGTTAAATCAAGGTTTGTTTGAGGTGTGAGATTTTTTGGGTGGTTTGGTTTGTTTGAAACACTTCGAGGCCATGTCGCGAAGATGTTCTGAAAGTAGTTTGTTAATGTCTTTAAGTTCAGTTTCATAATTACGGTAATTGTCTGCTAAAATATTTTGATTGGTGAGTAAGTCGATTTTCGACTGAAGATCTTGGATTAAGGTCAATGATAGATTTTCTGACTGCGCTTCGAAAAAGTCGTCTTTGTTCTCTTCGTTGATAATGATTCTGGTTGGCGCTGTCTGATAAGTGTCCTGTAATGGGACGCATTGGTTGATCGCGAATATATTGCATTTTAATTCAGTACTGAGGGGCTTATGATCAGAATGTTCGGTGAATGTCAAGATTTTGAGTCGATGTTGACATGCAGTCTCTTAATCTGTTAGTTTTATTGTTTACATTCAATATCGGATCCTTTTAAAATTAAAAAGTCATGTTTAATGAGCTGTTTAAAGCAATTTCCTGGTGGGTATCTTATTTTATATACCAAGACACAGTTAGTACCGTGATTTCTCAACAGTTAGTACCGCAAAAGCCAGCAAAAGGGGTGGGTGTCTTAATAATTATCCGGAAAAACAGTTAGTACAGTGAAGGGGGTGGGTGGGTCTTTTGAAAAATTCCAAAATTACACTTAGTTAACGTCAAGTACAGAACTTAGTTCTATAATAGCTTAGTTCTATAATAGCTTAGTTATAGTCTATAATAGCTTAGTTCTAGAATAGCATGGCAGCTATAATAGCTGCCATGCTATAATAGCTGCCAAGCTATAATAGCTGTCATGCTATAATAGCTGTCATGCTATAATAGCTGCCATGCTATAATAGCTGCCATGCTATAATAGCTGCCTTGCTATAATAGCTGCCGTGCTATAATAGCTGCCATCCCACATCCAGAAAGGTTTATATTTCCTCCCAGATGCTTTTTTTTCTAAATTCTGTGGCCAGCTCGCTTCGCTCGCAAGTTTGGGGGGGGGGGGGGGCTGTCGGCGAGCGAAGCGAGTAGACGTGTCCAATCCAGCTGCGCAGCGAGCGAAGCGAGCAAGCTGTGGCAGGGGTCTGGGGGCGGAGCCCTTGGCGGGGGCTAGGGGGCGCAGCCCCCGGAATTTTTTTGCGAAATAGGGTGTTTTAGACGGCATTTGGCATTAAAGAAATTTGTAGGACAGCAATAAACTGGGATTGAAAAGAATCAAGTACTCACGTAAATTTGGTAACTTCACAACAGCAATCTGCATTCTCCAATCAGAATATTTCACTGTGTTCCAAAACTGACGGGATGTTCCCCTTTGATTTTTATACAATCGAAACATTTTCTTCAAAAATTTCCTCAATTAATTTGTCTTTATTCCTAAAAATATTTCGAAATTTAGGAGTAACTTCTCAAAAATGTCCTCTTTTTCTCCCGTTTTTCCTCCCAAAAAAAAATTTCCTCCAAGGCTGCCTTGCAAGATGGCGTGTTTCTGGATGTGGGGCTGCCATGCTATAATAGCTGCCATGCTATAATAGCTACCATGCTATAATAGCTGCCATGCTATAATAGCTGCCATGCTATAATAGCTGCCATGCTATAATAGCTACCATGCTATAATAGCTGCCATGCTATAATAGCTGCCATGCTATAATAGCTGTCAAGCTATAATAGCTACCATGCTATAATAGCTGCCATGCTATAATAGCTGCCATGCTATAATAGATACCATGCTATAATAGCTATCATGCTATAATAGCTGTCATGCTATAATAGCTGCCATGCTATAATAGCTGCCATGCTA